GGCTTGGTTTCCCTAACAACCTCTTTTAATCTCGGCCTGTGGCAACCAAGCTTCCTAAACAAACACCCAGATACACACAGCACGCGTGCCGATGTCACACGCGCTGCATGGGAAGCAGCTGTTTCCTGGGATCTTGGAAAGCAGCTGATTTCCTTGTCCATGCTGCCTCCATCAGGGACTTTTGAGATCTACTGCCAGACGAGCAATCACTACCAGGCTGGGATGAGGGAACGCTACTCCGTTTCCAAGTGTGGAAAAAGGGATCCTGCTCCTGCCCTTCGGTACAAGGGGGTGCGGACGTACTACATCGTGGCAGAGGAGGTGGAGTGGGACTACGCGCCTGACCGACGCTGGGAGAGGGAACGGCACAACCATTCTGCGGAGAGGTAGAGCCCTTCTGGGGAAGCCTTTGGCAGAATTTCTCAGTAGACCTCGGTGAGGCCTGCTGGGTATCTTGGCCATCTTGCGACACGGCGCGTGTGCCAGTGCTGGTGGTGGTGCTGATGGGCGCCGCAGCCCCCGTGTCACTGCACCCACCTTTGCAGCGAACCTGGGTCCCTGGGAAACCCACTGAACTAGTGAACCCCCTGCCACAAGTGAGCTGTTTATTCCCTGTGAGCTTTTGGATATCTCAGCGCTCGTTCTGCATTTCTCAGCTACGCCGATGTGTTTTTGAGCAACGAGAACGGACTGCTCGGCTCCAGGTACAAGAAGGCAGTTTACAGGGAGTACACCGACGGGACTTTCCAGACCCCCAAGGCCAGGATGAATGGTGACGAGCACCTGGGGATACTAGGTAAGGATATGTGCAGAGGGTACATCTTCCACTGGCATGACGATGAGACTTGGATCTAGAGCTTAGTGGCTGAGGCTGTAATCTGAAGGCCTCCTAGATATCTAGGCATCTGCTGTGCGTGCAAGCGAGGAGAAATGCAGACTGTCTCCTGTTGAAGTCGGCCAGCTCTGGAGACAGCAGTGAAGAGGGCCCTGAGTGCAGCTTGTAGTAGAGATGAGGTTCTGGTGCCTTTGCACCAACGTTCTTTCATCTCTCAGGCAAAGCATTTCTCACACCTGCGTTTCCCCGACTGTGGAACAGAAACACCTGCTGATTTCTAGAGACCAGTCTGAGGGATGCAGGTGAAGATCTGTAGCTGAGACAAATGCTTTTGGGGGAAAAGTGGGGGGTGGAGGGACCTTGGGAAGTGGAGGAGCACGTTACAGTGACCGGTGGGAGTCTGTGGAGACACAGCTCTGTTATGACCGTGGGACTACCAGTGGTGCCGGAGCCAGCACGGCTGAGGCAGTATGTGCCATTGTGCCATTCCAAGTAGGCTGCAGCTATGATTCGTGACACTGTCAGGCCAAATCGAGTATTACCACATTTTTTGAAACCAGCAGCAAGGCATGATGAAGACGTTGTGAAATTCAGCATAGCAGTATTCAGAAATCAAGCCTTAGCTCTACTTGGCACAGTTAAAACACATAACAACCTTCATTTCCCTCGCTGTGAAACTCACGGTCTGGTTTTGAGACTTACATGAATTGGGACTGACCTCCAGTTCTCTTTTTGGGAGATAGAGAGAAGGTAGAGAAGAGGGAGAGGAACATCATAAATATTATAAGGGAATATCTCTGGGGAGAAGATGGTGGGAGAGAGGTGGGAATATCCTCAGAAGATAGATTGACAGTTTTTGCTGGTCTCAGAGTATGTTCTTCCTATCTCAAGGTCCTTTTCTGTGGGCGGAAGTGGGAGATATTCTCAACATTGTGTTTAAGAACAACGCCACACGACCCTACTCCATTCATGCCCACGGGGTGCTGGAAAGGGAGGCAGGACAGCCGCAAGTAGCAAACCCTGGTGAGTCGCTGTGGTCTCCAGCCATGTTCCCGTATGGGCTTACGAGGCTAATTTTAGCCTGCAGCTAGACTGGTTTCCTCGAGTAGGCTGAGATGTCCTTGTTTTCTTATGGCAGAGAACTGGAACTGAGCAATAACTGGTCTTTCAGGTTCACTGCAGTTTTAGCGTCTTTCTGAAATGTATTGCTAATATAAAAAATAGTATTTTAAAAAACTTATTTGAATGACTGTCATAAACATACTTTGAAGAGAGGAAAGATCATGTCAAGCTCAGTCTGTACTGGAGACAGGTCGAATTTCCTTGGTCAGGTCCAGTCTCAAAGGTGGCTGATAAAACAGTTGTGCTGATACCCAACGGTGGGTGCATCCTGTGACCCCCCTGCTTTGCTTGTGTGAGCAGAGTTGCTGTCCTGCTTTGCAGTGTGTGGGGAAGGAAGATGCTGTGTCCAACAAAATCAGAATTGAATTTTCACTTTTGAGACAGGATCTTGTTTTGCTTTGCTTTGCATGCCGCCCAGCAAGCTGGCAGGTGGGCGTCTCACTGATGGTGCTTCTCTGTCACTCAGGTGACATTGTGACGTACCGATGGGAAGTTCCTGAGAGATCTGGTCCAGGGCCAAATGATTCAGCCTGTGTTCCTTGGATCTACTACTCCATGGTGGACCCAGTAAAGGTAAAATAAAACTTAGAACCAGAAAAGCTGAGTTAGACCAATTTTTCACCTGCTCTAGAAAACAATGTGAGCTGGATACAACAGAGATTGGCCCAGCGGAGAAGTAGAAAAAGCACCTGGTGACATGTCCAGTGTTCCCCTGGGAGAGGAAATTCTCCAGCTTTGTCTAACACGAACCTTCATAAAACTATTCCACTGTCTCCTTGACACTAACCTTTCTTCAGTTATTTGCAGGATATGAGAACACCTCCCAGTCAGTCATTTCGAGTGGTGAGAGCCATAGGGCTAATCTAGAAAGGCAATCTATAAATTGTCCAAAATTAGGCCCTGTGGGTAAAGCAGGAAGATTTGAGCATTGCTCGGATCAATTGTCATAGCACTGATTTCACAGGAAAACAAGCTGGAGGATTCTGCAATAAGCCGTTGTATTCCACCCAGAGATTATTGCCTTTTTATCTCAAGTTGCAGATGCTTTTGCAGTCAGAGAGTGGAGAATATTTTGATACCATTCATATTAATGACTTTTGGATTTGCATTCATAAGAGCTTGGATAGTCTCTGTTCTTGTGCTTTGGTAGCTGATGTTCACTAATGAGAGTACTTGCACGGTACCACCATTTGTTTTAAGTGGGGTGATGCAGGGAACAGAAAATGTGGTTGCTGAAAGGGAAAGAACTGTGTACAAAAGAGAGGGTGAGAAAATCCTTGGCTCAGGCTGTCTCCTTGTTCTGATTAGGATATGTACAGCGGTCTGATTGGACCCCTGAAGATCTGCCGGAGAGGAACACTGCGGTCTGATGGGATGAGGAAGGATGTAAAGAGGGAGTTTGCTCTGCTGTTCCTGGTTTTTGATGAAAACCAGTCCTGGTACTTGGAGGAGAATGTGAAACGTTACCGTAAGGGAAATCACGAGGAGATGAACCTGCTGGATGACAGATTTGTGGAAAGCAACAAAATGCATGGTAATGCCTGTCGGGCACCTGAGCACCCGCTACTGTCTATGCAAAGTTGATGTTGATTCTGTGACCTCTATAAGTAGTCAGCCACCCAAAAACCAAGAGCCTGACTCTTGGTGAATGCCCCTGTCCTCCTCTGTTGTTAGTGTCACAAACAGAATGAAACCAACTGTTGTTCTCAATATCGTAGCACATATATGACTGATTGATCACACTGAAGGCGAAGCGTTATGGCTGCAGCAAGATAAGGGCCAGATAGGTTAATCTCTGATGTCACTGGGTGACTCGGGACAGGAAATAAAATCAAACGTGAAATTAACTCGTCAGACTAATTTCATTCTGTTTGTCTCAGGACTATTAGAATATGTTAGATTTCGAATTAATTGACCAAGCTATGTGGCTGCAGTACGTGGTTCTGTTGTTTTAGCTGATTACAAAAAAGCTACTTCTACCATAGTAGGATGCACACATTTTTCTAAATCAACATGTTATTTTTGGGTCTATCTAAAGCATTCTCAGCAAAACAAGTGCCTTGGCAGTTGTGGGAATAAGACTTGCCCTATGTGTGCTGTCATTACTACTGGTTTGGTACAGGTGATATAAAGAATCCCCAAATATACATGTCCATTATTATAATTGTCAACGCGATATTGTTGCTAGCAAAGCCGACACACTGGAGCTGAATGCCTGCTTTGGGCTACAGAAAGTGCCAATGGCAGATCTGGGAGTAAACCCCCAGTGTTCCTCCCCTCAGATCGAGTCTCTTTGTCTTACTCCCTCCGTTGTCATCTGAGCATGAAAGTTTCCATGTGTGTTTCATGGCATTCAGCTCGCTCGCTGTTTTGGTCCCTTTCCTGCATTTGCAGTCAAAGCAGTATTCCTTCTTGCTGTGCTAATTATGAAATAAAGTCCTGCCATGTAGTGATTTTACAAGTGGTCGATCAGCACGTGATGCATGCAGCCAGCAAGAGACAGAGTGACAGGGTTGCCTGTTGGCAGGATTTACCTGTTTTCGTTATTCGGCAGGTAAATTGTTCAGAGATTTATGTCTATATGGATATATACATATTTCCCTATCATTGGGGTAAGGAGGCCAGTTTTACACATCTTGACTTCTAGAAACAAACACCTCTGCTGGCTGCAGGTTTTCAGCAAGAGGTAGTTTTTTAGATTTGTTTGAGCTGAGCTGCAGCATGGTCTTGGATGCAAGTCACTTTACCTTTCCTGTCTGTTAACAGCATGGAGAGGTAGTTGAGCTGGAGAGAGACTCCCGAACTTTTAGGGGACTGTCATGTGGAAGACACTAACTGCTGATGCGCTGGTTGCTGTGTGAGCTTTGTCCCATCTAACTTGCCCTGCCTGAGCTGATTCAGCATCTTTCCTATTTCAGTAACGCCCTTTTCTGCTCTCTCTCTGTGTCATTTACTGTGCAGCCATCAATGGGAGGCTCTATGCAAACTTGCCTGGGCTGACCATGTTCCAGGGAGAGTGGGTGAACTGGTACCTGCTGGGAATGGGTCAGGAGATTGATATCCACACAGTCCATTTTCATGCTGAGACCTTCATATACAAGGTAAGAATATCCTGCTGATGATAAAGCAGAGACTGATCACTGATGTCATCACCTCTGCTTGACTCTGATGGACTTGAACTTCTTGAATGGCTTCACAGCAACTTCACTCAACTAGGAAAGGGGTGTGATTTTACACATCAAATCTGACTCACTGAGCCTCTGTATTGCACTGATGTGTCTAGCAAACCCCTCAGAATTAGGCATTACCAGGTTGTGTTTGCTTTCCCAGCTACAGCCCTGGAGCTGCTCTTTGAAATCTTGTTTTGAGCTTTTAAAAACTGCCGTAGCACTGAAGTGGTGTCCAGTGACACCAACCAAATTTTCTTTCTGAAAGATGTACAGAGCAGCGCACGCTGACAGCCTCCCTTCCCTTTGACAGAACGGCAAGAGCTACAGAGCAGATGTGGTGGATCTGTTCCCTGGGACCTTTGAAATGGTGGAGATGTTGGTTGGGAACCCTGGGACCTGGCTGCTTCACTGTCATGTGTCTGATCATATTCACGCTGGTATGGAGATAGTCTTCCAAGTCTTGCCCGGACCAGGTAAGGAGTTATCACTGATAGTTACCATAAAGCATCTAACAGCACTTTCTACTACTGCTGTTAAATTCTGAGGGTTTGCATCACACTTACAACTCTTTTACATACCGTAAACAGCCAGTTAATTGAGCAGATAATTACTTAAGTACTATTAATTTAAGATATTCCCTTTGAATATGGTAGTAACTGCAGCTGGAATTAATGACAAATTGTTTTCTGGGGTTTACATTGCCTACGTTATTATGAGTTTTATTTCAGCTTGTGTCTGAGAAGCGGTGTTCAGCCGTCAGCTAGTAGTTGTTCTTACTGAGAGCATTCCCTGTAATCTAAAGGCACATCCCAGGGCTTCTCGTTTCACTAGCAAACACGGGAAGGTGCTCCGAGGTGAGCGACACTCTGTGCTGGGTTTGGCTGCCATGGAGTTAATTTTCTTCGTAGCAGCCGATGTGGTGCTGTGGTTTAGGTTTGTTACCAAAACAGCTGATAAGCAGCCATGCTCTAGCTGTCGCTGAACAGTGCTCGCACAGTGTCAAGGTCTTCTCTGTTTCTGCCTCGGTAGGTCGGGGTGTGCCAGGGGCAGGGAAGGGACACGGCTCGGACAGCCGACCTGAGCTGACGGAGGGATGTTCCACGCCGTGTAACGTCGTGCTCAGCAATAGAAACGGGGCAGTTTTTCCAGAGTAGCCCTTGCTCAGGGAGTGGCTGGGCACCACTCTGCTGGTGGCGAGCGATTGCTTTTACATCGTTTGGGTTTTTTTTTGTTGTTTCCCCCCCTGCCCCACCTCCTTCGCTTACTAAATTGGCTTTGTCTCAACCCACAAGTTTTTTCCTGGCTTTTGTCCTTCTGATTCCCTTCCTGATGTCGCCCTGGGGTGAGCGAGCAGCCCTGCCCGTGGGGCTGGCCCACCGCGCTCAGAGACACGGGTTGTGCTGCTTTTCCACGGGCCAACAGGGCTGCGTGGTGGGAGCGCGGCTGCGTTTGAAGCAGGTAACACAAAAACGCTCTCGGTGTGATCCGGAGAGGAAAAGAAAATCTGCAAGCCTGAGAACCGTGCTGCCTCTGGATGCGATCCGTGCCGAACGGGCCATGTTCTGGACTCTGCCTCTTCAGCCTGACACCTCCTCACCCTCTTTCTGTTTCCTTTCAGAGCCAGCGCTTGAAGCTGTGAACTACAGTGCAGGTACGGTGTGCGTTGCACTGCTAAATGCCGTCTGTGTGAGGAGGAGGAGGAGGAGGAGGAAGGGAAATCTCTGATCAGTAGGGACATAGGTCCGCAGGGGCAGAAGGGAGGGGCACAGGCGCCGCGCACAGCCGGGCAGCGCGCTGGCCTGGGGCGGGTGGCGGAGGGGGCTCCGGGCGGGTGTGTTTGTCTGCCCCCGGCCGCCTGCGCGGTGGCGATAAGGCCGTTGGGCTCGTCGGCTCGGCTGGCTGTGTTAAGTGAAAGGATCCAGTGGCCCCACGTGCTGTTGTACCTGCGACGTGTGGATGCGTCTTCAGGGGAGAGTGTGAGCTTAGCCACGGGCAGAGGCTCAAAGGGTTTTAAAGGAGGATGTTGCAAAGGAGGTGATTTTTCTTATCCCTTTCAGTCAAACCCCAAGGGGTGCCTTAGATTAGCTGTCCTCCTGGACATGACAATGTGATTTAGGGAATTTGCACGTTCGCCATCGCTAGCTGAAAGGACTGAGTCAGCATGCAGACAAGCACATCTGCCTTCTAGTCTGTTCTTCCCCCAAGAAAAGCACCCAAGCACGTGCCCTGGGTCTTTCAGGTATTTTAAAGAACAGATGTGAGAAGACATTTGGTTGAGCAGCACCAGGGAGAAGGGGAGTAATAGATAAGAAGCCTTTGAAATTTTCTGGGATAAATGTCTGAATTGGTGGTGATTTCTTTCTCTGATTTTTCATCTTTCCCCACAACTCCATTTTTCAACTGCTGTGTATAAATCCAGCTGAGCTGATTTCAGAGTCAACTCAGACCAGCTGAGAATACAGCCACCTACCTACAACTCTTCCTCTACTGATCTTTCAGTCGTTTCCTTCCCAACAATGTTTTCCTCACTCAAAATGGGTGTAAAAAAGTGGAGTAGGAAATGTGTCTGAGCAGTAGTGACAATGTGAAATATTTCAGTTTGATACTGTAATCAGCTATCAGCCAGTGTATGCTCACCAGGCAAAAGCCTTATCAACAGTTGTTACCTGTGCAAACAGCCACTTTTCTCAAAAGGCTTCTGCTGCCTCTGCCTTGGAAGCACAGGAGAGCTCGGATCGTAAGTGACTCGCCACTGGCACGACTGAGCAAGTGCACTCTGCAGAGTGGTGGTGGGGACACAGCCGTGTGCAGGGGGAGCGTGGAGCCGGTGGGGAACTCACGGCAGACCCGATACGGACGCACGTTCTCGTCTCCGTTCGTCTGTTCCTAGCCCAGCTGCTGAGTCCCCACGCGACCTCAGATCACCTCCCTCATGAGGACGGTGATGGTTAGCTGATGGGGCTGAATAGCTGTGAGACACAGTGAGGTGCTGGAATGGTGAAAGAACCATTCATTCTCAAATTTCTGTGTGACCTCAGGGTCTGTTAGATGGATGGTGACTGGGTCTCCTTTGACTTGCTTTGATTGCGTTGGGTCTTTCTTTTACTCCTTTTTTTATGTTTCTCGGAACCTTTCAGTTGTGGTATTTCTGGCTCTCATTGGAACCATCTTTTTGTTTGTCTCTCAGAGCCGCCACCTGAGGATGAGGATGAGTCCCAGAAAATCATGCTTTTTGGAGCTAAGTTGGCTCAAGGGCAGATAGAGGCCACAGTCATCACTCTGGCCATTGTAGGAACAGTGCTCTTCCTGGTCGCCTGCTTCCTCGTGGGAGTGGTCATCTATCTGGAGAGACAAAAGAGGTTAAGACGCAATCGGAGGTCCATCCTGGATGACGGATTCAAACTCATGTCTAAAAAGAATTCAGGGCTATAAAAGCCACATATGAACTTCCGTCTGTGTGCTTGGAGCAGAGGTTGGATGTTTGTTCACAGCAAAGATTTTGGGGCATCATTTCAATCATACACTAGACTTCTAGAAGCTAAGGAGGGAAAGCTGGAGCTGTGACCTCTTCATATATCCTCCTCCGCACTCTGTAAAGAAAAAGTCCGTCCGGGAGAGATCTGAGGACCCTTTCAACTGACTGAAGACAGGTAACAAGAGTAAAAAGGTCCTTCTAAAATACTTCTCTTCCCCAAGGAGTTTCCTCTGTTTTCTTCTCTCCAGAACAAGTCCACCAGGTCTTTCCCAGCAGACAAACTTAGGCCAGATTCCAGTCTTGCTCCATTGCTAGAGCTGAGCTGGGAATTGTCTCCCAAGAAACTGTGAGCCTTTAAAGTAGTTAATCTGAAGGAGGAAGGTAATCTTTGCATTTTTGTGATTCAAATAAGAATACAAAAGAGAAAATGTTAATTGAGATTTGGGTTGCTGGTTTTTGATGAGTAATTGCCAGATGCAAATTTGGGGCAGTTCATGTCACAGCTCTGAGAGCTCCATCAAGGACCGTCACAACAGCTATGGCTCACCGTCAGCCTTGCTGCGACACGTCCTTCTGCTCCCAGTGCCCGGGGCAGTGTGCTTCAGTGTTGGCCGTCTCATGCTGGGAGAAGCTTTTCCAAGTGCTGCCGTGTCCTGGTGAATCCCGTGCATCACAGTTCTGTCCGTCTGTGCGCGTGAAGGGCTGTACTCGGCACCTGCACGGCTCCTTGTGCGACGGGGCCGAGGGTGCCGTGATGTTCTGTGCTGGGGTTTGCTCTTTCTTTCGAATACATTTTGTTGAAGTTACCTCCCAAGTTGAGCTGCTGCCGCGTGACTGCTGTGAGCCAAACCAAAGGCTCTGTCCTGGGCGAGCTGGAGTTTATGCTTGGGGCAGAAAGAGTCAGGGAGTGCTTCCCCCATCGTGGTGCAACGGCAGTTTTGTCCAGGCAAACGTGGCGACAGCGAAGAAGCAGAAAGCTGAAGTGCTGGTGGAACCTGGCAGCGTGGAGCAAATACGCCGCATCCCGTGAGGTGGTGCAGCCCGAGATAAAGGATCGCTGCGGTAACGAGAGGTGGTACTGAGGGGGCCCTCGTCTTTGAGATAGCAGGGAACCGCAGGCGTTGGAGATGGAGAGGCCTCTCCTGGTAAATAAATGCTCATGGAGCTTTGCTGGGTGCTGGGGGACCCTGCCAGGAGCCAGAAGGGGATGAGGACATGGTGCCTCCCCAGTGGTGCCCGGAGTTGGTGCTTGCTCTCTCTGCTCTGGCTGCCAGCCAGGAGCCAGACTGGGGGCAGGTGGTGCAGCCCGTGGCTAACCCGAGCTCGGTGCCCACCCCATGAGCCGTGGCCACTGTCCTCCCGCGGCAGCCATGCCCACACATCACCGACACATCGCCCTGTGTATCAAGTGCCAAGCGGTTCTCTATGAAATACCCATCTCCCTGGCTCACCCGCTGAATCCCCATTATCTAAATGGGTGCAGGTTAGTGCTTACATATTTCTGTCCCTGGTTTTAAATTGGAAAGGGCGTAAAAGAAATCCTTTCTAGGTGGCTTTCAGAGGCAATTAAAGCAGAGCCAGCTAAATGGCTGTAATGACAAGGGACTGCTGTCGGCTATTTACGTATAACAGCACCATTTTATTCAGAACAATAGTTATAACATACTTAATCATGCTCAATTCATATTGGGTCCCTGCATATTTCCAGCTGGCCTTTCCTTTGGCAGTGGGGACAAAGCTCATTAATTTCCTTTCATTACACTTCATTAAGCCTGGTGAGGAGCTGGAGGGCTGTTGAATGCTCTGAACATGGGTACTCTTTGCTTGTCAACCCTGGTTCAGCTGCTGTTGCAAACCAGAGGTTTACACACCCAACAGTCCTGGGTGAATTTTAGAAACGATGTCATCACAAGTAAGAACCTAGCAGGAAACTTTTATTTGTATTTTTTTTCCCTCTTGGCTTGTGAAAAAAATAGATGAAAAGATGTTCTCAGCCCAGACTGGGACAAAGGAGTTACTGTAAATGTGTTTACTTTCTTGAAGAAAGCAGAAGGAGGGAAGTCGCCCTTTCTTCAGTCCTTGAGGACGAAGCTGGATGACAGCGGGCCTGGGTGTCCACGCTGGTTCGGAAGCAGGGCAGCACAGGGCTGGAGCTGGCTCTCCAGATTTGCATGCATTCCTTAAACAGCAGGCTGCCAAAATTCCTCCCATGTAATGTTTTTTGGGCTGAATGGAGCATTGGTGGCAGAGGTCGTCTCCCCAGCGTTGGTCATTAGCACACTCTGGAGCCCAGGCCCTGGAGGAGCCTCAGCTGAGCGGCGTTTCGGAGAGGACTGTGTCGTCTGATCAGCGATCCCACCCCAGGCTGAGAAAACTCAAGGGAAAGCTGTGCACAAAACAGATCGTTCTGCTAAAACTGTCTGTTGCAGCAAACTGTCATGAAGAACAGTTTATGGGCAACTGCCTCTGATCAGGAGTCGGCTCTCCTGGGTGGTGGGCGTACGGGGAGGAGGAGAGATGTTTCCCAGTTCTGGTGACTCCGAGCTGGAGCCTGCAAACAGACGTGTTTGCTTTGACAGCAAACCTTCTGTGGGAGCATCCTGCAGGGTCCTGTTTGGGGGCACCCCTGAGGCACGTGTGGCTGCGGAGGAGTCACCGGCTCCAGGAGGCAGCACGGTGGGCAGCATTTGGGTCTCGGCACTGCTGCTCCACAGGGAGACACTGGGATGGCAGCTGAGGATGGTGCTTGTGCTCTCACCTCTCTTGCCAGTGCAAAATAAACCAGCCAAGGTAAAACTCTGTTCTGCAGTGGTTCGAGATAATGGTTTGCAGTAATACACACTGAAAGGTTGAGAAGTACTCGCATAATCCATTAGCATGGCTCAGCTCATAGGGACAGAAGGATAGAAATACATGTATACGTGCTTTTAAACAGTTAAATACTGTAGGAAACTTTAAAAAACCCAACCCAACCAATCAAAAAAACCACAACAAAAAATCCCAGCCCCACTTTAATCCATGCTGCCAGTAAGAGTCCAAAATAGATTAGCCTTCATGGAAGGATACGGTCTCTCAGGGTTTTTATGGGATAAACATAAGCAGCAGCTAATATTTCCTCCTGTGTTCACTTTAGGTGGGGCTTTTTGTCTGCAGTTCTAATATTGCCCTTCCTGGGCCCCAGTGAGATGTGATAATCTGGTGAGAAGTTTCCCTAGATGATCGCTCCCCGCACTCTTGCAGGCTGTCTTAGGTGGCTGCAAAGCTGAGTTACTCATTTACATGGTGGCAGCTGGGTGTTTGCAGCAGGGCTGAGATGAAAATCCCTTTATTAGTGCTGTCCTCTTGCTCGGTCATGGGCACAGTCACCACGATGTTACTTTAGCCAGCACACAGTCGTGTCCTTGCCCCATGGCAGTGCCAGCGTTCAGCTGGCGTTCCTGGATAATCCCACGTGTGTTACGGGTGTGAGATGCACGAGTCAAAAGCAGGGTGCCTTTTGGGTGTGCCTGTGGAAGTATAAAAAGCTATCTTGATTTTTTTTTTTTTTCTCAAAACACCAAAGTAAATGTCAAATTAACCTGAAGCACACCGTAGAAAAGACTAACAGTGGTAATTGGCAGCAAAAGGATTTGAGAGTCTTTCAGGTGTAATGCAGTCTTTGGTCTGAATTCAATGTGTGGCTTAACGTGCAGCTTGCTTTGTGACGCATCATCACCCTGTGGACTGTTTACAGCAGTTAGAATTTTGTTGGCACAGCAAAATATGGGAGTGATTGTAAGTCTGGAGCTACGTGCATACGTACTGCCTGGGGAGAGGAATTCGAGCACGGCGGCTGCCAAAGCAAGGTGATCTGCCAGGTCACAGTCAGAGGACGGATCTGAGCAGAAGTAAAAGCTGCTCTGCAGCTCATTGCTATATGGAACACAGGAGTAAGGCAGTATGTGTCCACGAGGTACCGAGCTCGCCAAAGCATTAGTCTCAGAAACAATGGATTAATTTTGTCACAGACTATTCTGGTGATGTGAGAACAGCAGGACTGGGCATGCGATGGATGAAACAGCTATTACTGCAAATTAGTATTTTTGATGTTAAAACTCAAAGTCTGTCCTGGAAATCAATTTGTTTGTTAATTTGCTCCTATTTTGGGGAAAGTAAATCTATTACTTAGCAGGTGTTCATTATAAACCTCGTGCCCTTTGGTGTTCTTGAGAGACAGGTTTCGTTCTGTGTTCTTAAACCACGGGAAGGACGGGAGAGGTAGAATAGTCACCTATCCCCAGTGAGACCTAGAGGAAGAGTAAGGGGGTGGTTCATTCCGTTGGGAGAAGGCACGGGCAGAAATCTGCTGCGGCAGCGTGTCTGATGGGTGCAGGAGAGAAAAGCTCTCTGTTGTTCAGTGTCATCAAGAATAATACAGAAATTATGTCTTATCTGTGCACAGAAGGATGTTGATGTAGTGGGAGGCTTTGGAATCTGTCCCTGTAAGGAGCTTACAGAAAACCCTGCCCGTAGGACGTTCCTATCAGACCCTTGTTTTTCATATTTGGGGGTTGTTTTCTTCCAATGAAAGCTTTCACTTTGGAGGTAAGCAAAGAACAGCCGTCTGCTTTCGGTCGGGCTGACTTGCTTGGTGAGAGACAAACAAGCAGACGACAAAGCTCAGGGTGCCAGGAGAGCATGGCACGTCCCTGCCCGCCCGCGGGCTGCTCTTGCCGGCGGCTGTGTCCGCAGTGGTGTGTGCCATGCCGTGGGAAGGAGCTTCACAGCGTCGGTGGGGAAGTTTCTTGCCACTTGTCAGTGTGAAATACAGAAAGGTCCTTAAGTCAAACCTAACCCGCGGAAGAGGCTGCTGGTGTGTGCCCTTCCCAGAGCTGCAGCTGCTCTGGGTTTGCCCGCCGTTCTGCGGGTTCCGCGGGCACTGTGGCGGGAGGCAGTGGGCTGTGTGAGGGTTGGGTGGGCTCTGCAAACCTGACCTGTTGAACGACAGGGCGTAAGGATTGTGACTGGTCCAATGACAGACTCTCAGTTTGGTAAACATCAAAGACCCCAAAGGGTAACAGCAACGTGGGTTTT